CCTCATATAATGAATCCATGCAAAAAATTTCAATGTTGCAATATAAAGTAGCACAAATATCTATACATTCTAATAAATTCAATCCCATCCTTAATGGTGTGATAAATTATTCGGATCAGGTCCAAAACGCACCCCTGAAGGTCGCGCTTTGGACCTGATACACTTCTTTTAGTGTCATTAGGTTCACATATTTATGTTGCGGTGTAGATAGCACATTAAGTAAGCATCTAGAGAGAAAGTCTGGTTCATTATTCTCTTCTCCTTTGTTTATATCGTTGTAACAATAAAGATCATCAGAATCAATCTTATTTACTAAAAGGTCATTTGTGGAAGCGTCTCTTTATATGTAATTTCAATGGTGATTCTCGAGATCCTGTGTTTGTAAATTTTATTTGATATTTTTATTTTTGTAAGAAATTTACACCTAGTATACCTGGTGCAGGTAAATTATTTAGTAATAAGAATTCTTCTTTAATTGATACTTTGGGTTAATCTTTTTAAAATTTAAGAAATAATTTATAATCGACTTTATGTTCTCGACTATCTGCTAAGGTCACTTATTCGTTGCATGGGCATAATGATTTTGTAACTTTATCAGCCAACTTTTTTGACATAAAGTTATAATATGTCCCTGTATCCACCAAAATGAATATCTTTAATTATTAAATGTAATTGATATTGAAATTTTATGTTCGTCGTCTTTCTTAGAAGAAATAGAAAAGGGTTTTGTAGGTTTGACTGCAGAACCTCTTGTCGTTTTAATTTGTGCTCTGCATTCACTGCTATCATAAAAACGAGATTTATGATAAGAACATCCTTTTCCTTAGTAATAACTATGATTTTATTTGATAATTCGTATTTTGATTGAAATTCTCCAGTTATACAATTTAGATAGATTATTAAATTTTTGTAATGCTTCATAAATTACTTCGACTTTGGTGGCTCCTATATTCATAAGGGTTTCTTTTTCGCTCATAGTGAGATTATTGACTATAATAGATACTAAATTCTTTTCTGAGATTCTGTCCGTTGTATTGTAAATTACAGAGATCGGCTCTTGTTTTGCCTTTTTGAAGATATTCGATGAACTTCAAAATATCAGTACTGTTTTGTGTCGAGGCAAAAATAAGGCCAAAAAATCGAAAGTAAGCATTATTGGAATATAAATGCTCTGCTAAAGTATATAATTTTGTATCAAAGATAGATTTACTATATATAATTGATTTAAATTTCTCGTGTCAACTAAATCCAAAATTTTAAGTGCGTTGTTAGGTGATCATTTATTGTTTGCTGCTATAAATTGTAGTTGTTTTGACCATTCTAAGTAATCTTGTACATTTATGTCAGTAAACTCTGTATACAATGATCTTTAATGAATTGGCAAGTCCCATATCGTCTTCCATCTTGAGATTAAAGGTGGTCGAATTAAATGTTTTTTCTTGTAAGCTCGTTTTATCGAGGTTACTAAGGTAAAGTAGTAAATTACCCTGAAAGTTTTTAGAGTCTGAATTCAGAATGTCGTGTTTTGCAAAATAAAAATAACGCGATGTAAATTTGTTAAGCTGTTTATTCGTCTTCATTCTCGATCCCCCTAAGCAGCAATTTTTTTGTTAGTTTTTTGAGATTGATTAAACAAACAAATGAGTGAAATAAAAGAAAGACAAAAAGACTTGAGTTGTCAACATAGTAAAGTAAAATAAAATTGTCTTAGTGGTTTGTTTGGACAATCACATTGTAATGATTAAGTAAACAATCTTCATAATGTAACTGGTTCAATGAAAAAATATTTATTTATATTTTAATTTTATACTTAATTTTGGCACCGATCTCAACTTTTTGAAACGATTTTTTTTAAAAAACAATCAAAAATTTATAATTGACCTATGTCATAATGTGGCCAGAATATGACCATTACCAAATGTTTGTATAAAATTTCTTTGTTTACAAATAATTAATAGAAAAAATTACTTTGTAGCTTTCTTCTAATACTATCTAATTCAACTCTTTAATATACAGTTTGTTTCAAAAAAAACGAAACATAAATTTTACAGGTTTAAATTGATTAAAAAAACTATCTGAATAAAGCAGTTGATTTTAAGGAATTATTTAGAGAGCTTTGTTTATTTATATTTTTCTTAAATGATGTAAAAAGTTTAATTTTCTGTTTTATATAAAAAAGTATTTTAAAAACATGATTATTTTTTTTAAAGAAATTAAAAAATGTTCTGTAAATTTCCTTCCAAATCTTATTTATTTTTAAATTTTTTAAATCTCTAATGCAACATACGCCTGAACTCAGATTGAAAATTGTTTGCTTTTATGATCAAAAGATGACATAGGCTAAAATGGTCGAACAAATTGGTTTATCTAAGAGCACGGTCTCAAGAACCCTTTCTAAGTACAAAAAAACTAAACAAGTTGTGCATTTAAAAGAAAATGGGAGGACAAAGACTCTTTTAAAAGATGATATTAATATTACTTTGGCTTTAGATAAAAAAAACATAAAACTTCTTTGAGAAATTTATCAGTTGAGTTTTTAGAAAGAAGCAAAAAAAAGATATTTTATTCAACTATAAAAAGAACACTAAATTATTATGGTTTTGATGCATCCCAGGCAATAAAAAAGTCTGTTCTATCAAAAAAAATATTTAACAAGGAAATAAAATTCAGAAAAATTCATTAACATGTCTGATGAAACTATAAAAACCATAATTTTTTCCAACAATAGTAGTTTAATCTTATTGGAAATGATAATAAAGTTTTTAATTGGAGAAAGCTGTGTACAGGCTTTTCTCCAAAAAACATTGTTGATATAGTTAAATACGGAGGAGGCTCTGCAATTATGTAAGAATGTTTCTTATATCATGGAATAGGGAAACTGGTTTTTGTAGATTGTATTGTGAGCGCTGTAGCATATGTGAATATTTTCGCTAAAAGTCTACATTTGTCAGTCGAACAAATGGTAATAGAAACACTTACTTTTCAACAAAATAATGATCCGAAACATACATCAAGACTTGTCAAAAACTACTTTATCAAAAAAAATCGAGCTTCTTTCTTGGACACCACAATCTCTTGATTTAAACCCAATAGAGACTCTTAGAACCATTAAAAACAGGAATTATCTAAATTTTTTATAAAAACTAATGAAGAGTAAAAAGCTGCTATACAAGCTGTATGGAATTCAATAACAGTAAAAATTTATCAAAAACTGGCGTAAAGTTTCAAAAAAGGAGCTATAAAATGCTATGAAGCTTCGGGTCTATACACACGGTATTAAATTTTTAAATTTAGTCATGTTTTTAAAACACTTTTTTACAAACAACGGAAAATTAAATTTTTACGACAATTGAGATCAATATAAATAAACAATACTCTCCAAATAATTTTTCTAAATCAACTTATTTAATCAGATAATTTAATGATCAATTTGTACCTGTAAAATTTATGTTACATTTTTTTTGAAACAAGCGTATATCCATGAACTAAGTAGAGAAAATAAAAGAGAACAAGCCAAAGTACAAAGACACCTTAAAACAATTGTATTACTCAAATAAATTTATAAACATTGACAAACTATAAAAAGGTTGACTAAAAAATCCAAATATTTAGATTTATGTAATTTTTTATTTGAGCTTGATTTATACTCTTATCTTTCTTATTTAACATTATTGTATTGACAAAAGGAATTTTTTTAACCGGTAATAAATTTTTAAAGCGCACTGTATAAACGGTTTTTTAATGCGCTTAAATAATTAATATAAGGAATGGAAAATATAGACAATAATTTTGTTCAAAAAGATATGTTTACACGTACTGTTTTTTACAAAAATAAAAAAATATATACAATAAACTATTATTTAATGACATGTAAATTATACCTCTACTCGTTTCAAACCAGGTCATATAAATTAAATATTATCAACC